TCCACCATTTGGTTAGTGTGACGTTGGGAAGCTGTCTAAATCTCTAAGCCAATTTGTAGATGTTATCATCTATGATAGTATTGATAATATCAATGTTATCATCTATTTGTTGTCTGTTGTTGTGTACCGTATCAGCGCTAAGCCTAGGGCATGGTTTTCAGAGGCAGTTAATCACATGGGAGGAGACTGCCCATCTTTATCTTGTAGGAACAGCTAGCAGATTCAAAACTCATGCCTTTGGGATTGTGATACAACTTCTTACCAGGAGTCCAGAAGAGCTCCAAAATTAGCATCTCTACCTCCTGCGGTTATTTGAAAAAGTAAATAGGTTAACATATAAAGTATTCAACAATATCTTACATGTATTAACTATTTATATTGCATCCACAGCAGTACCTAGGGTTTTAAGTCTGATAGGTGCTGTTGAGACTACAATTCACAGTGACTCTATGAACAGTGAATCTGAATCTTGCCCTGTGCTGTGCCAGCCTCATCATCTCTGGTATTCTTGAGCCCAGTGCTACAGTCACCCTCTCAATCCATCTTGAGGGTCTTTCTCTCTTCCCCTGACCTTTCCAGGCATGATGACTTCTCCAAGGACTGGCCCCTCCTAACAACAAGCCCAAAGAACAGGAGAGTGCTTGGCAGCATTTTCCCTCAGGCATATTTTTTCTTTAGGCAGTGTATGGGATATTCAGCACTCTTCTCAAATACCACAACTCAAAGGCATTGATTCTTCTGTCATCCTTACTCATCATCCAACTTTCAGATGCCTAACAAGTAACTGAAAAGATCATGGCTTAAATCATCAGGTGCACCTCAGTCTTTAAACTGGCATCACTGTTACTCAGAGCTTTGGAGAGGTCCTGTTTAGAGAGGTCTTTAACAGCAGATTTTCAGAATTTTGTTTATGAATGAGTGAATGGAGGCAATAAAGTCCTCACTTAATGTAGAGAAAGACTCCTCTATACCATATTAATAGGGTTTTTGGTTTTGTTTACTTTACCAGGCAATTTCATTATTTGAACCATGTCATTTACTAATTTCTTCAAAAGCTGTTGAAAGTCATTCTTTGATATTTAGCCCGTCTCTATAGACTACCTGACTAATGATGTGAAGGACACATAAGACGCCTTAGGTAATAATGAACTAGCTCTGTCATCTTCACCATAGTTTCTTCCTATCTCCCACAGCATGATACACATGGTACATAATGCAACACTGCTAATGACACACCATCTAAGCAGACAAATTTAAAATTTCATTGCCATCTCTTGATTCTACTCCTGTAAGGGAATCACTCAAATGTAGTGGTGACAGTCAAAAATAAGCTTTTATCACTAAAGTAATTTCTACACAACTAAAAAAATGCTAATTTAAGCAATGACTCAGTTTTGCACAAAATTTCAGTATTAAGTAACAGTTCACTCAAATTAAGTAACAAGTTTTCAGAGAAGTAGTGGGAGCCTCTCACATGTTAAACCAGCCCTGAGGAACTCATGGGAATTCAAGAAAATATGATTTAACCAAATGTGGTTACAGTAGAACCATTACAATAATTAAGTACTACAACTACTAATCTTTTTTTTAACCTGGATAAAAATTTACAGATTAAGATTCCCCTTATTTAGAGTAACTGTTTAAAGAAAATTATCCAGGCTCCCCATTCCACCATTAGCCTATCTTAGAACTGAACAAGTAAGTTGAATGGCATCCCTGATCACTGCCTATGTAATGCAAAGAGGACAGGTTTGGAGTAGAGCCCCTTGGGACCAAGTGCCATCCTGCTACTAAAGGCCCTACAGCCAGTCTGTTTATCCCTCTTCTCTAGCTCTAACAGCAATAATGTCATCTCTCAAGATAACCAAAAACTCAAAACTCACTACTGTCAAGTTAGAAGCAACTCGTCAATGACTCTGAAATACTGGGTGTCTGAGGCTAAGCATCCAACACAAGGAGACGGTCCTTTTTTTTCTCTCAAAGAATTCTGGTGGATTCAAATCACCAGAGAAGCATAGCCTTTGGGTAAGCAGTGCAACTCCCAGCAGACACCGCCAAAGGTTGTTGTTATTGTTGTGTGCTATAGAGTTGGAATCGACCCACAGCTGACCCTCCAGCTGCAGTTTTCAGAAGCACTTAATCACGCAGGAGACTGCTCATCCTCCTGCAGGAGCAGCTGGTAGATTTGACCGAAAGCCTTAGGGGACTGCAGTGCCTTAGGCCACCAGAGTACCCTCAAACTAGTAACAACAAAAGAAAAGGAACTAGCATGCTTCAGATGCTTAGAAAATGGTGGTTTTTAACATTATTACATCATTTACAAGTCTCATTAGAGTTGAGGCTTTAAAGAGATTGTTAAAATGTTCAAATTGATATGCCTACTGGAACAATTAATTTTACAAGTAAAAATGTTAAGTTAGTAAGTAATGAAAAAAAAAGAGTTCCTAGAATAAATAAATCCTTGTGAGCCCAAGGAAAACTTACTCCCTCCCATAAAGCACACACCACACCAAGCACTGGCTGCCCTGCTTTTCTGGGGCCAGGTCTCCTCCTCCGCCTACTATTAACTACAGGTACAAAATAGGTCATCATGAGTGGACAGGAACTAACAGGTTACAAAAACCTTCACTGACTAGCAACTTACCTCAGAAGGAAGCACACATAAAAATCACATGAAGTCAACTCCTTAACAATTAAATACCAGGTGGTGTTCATTCACATTATATTTTATCAACAATTAAATGGAAACCTGAAAATAAGGATGCCAGGCTAACTCAGCCAAAGGCAAAACTCTGCTTAAGGGTCCTGAGGCAACTCTCCTCCTGAAGAGAGGAACGCTGTCTTGTAGAGTTGTACGATCCCTGTCCTTATTATCAGATGCTGCCAACTACAACTCATAGTGACCCTATGACCAAGAGCTCTGAACCCTGCCCTATCCTGTGTCATCCTTATAGTCTCAGATATGCTCCACTGTTACAGTCACCGGGTCAATCCATCTTGTTGAGCGTCTTCCTCTCTCTCCAACCCTCCACAGGATTATCCTTTGCCAGCATAATGTCTTTTTCCAAGGCATGGCCCCTTCTGGGACAACAGCCCAAAACATGTGAGAGCAAAGTTCACCATCCTTGCACTTCTCCATCCGCCCTGCTCCGTTGTTGTACACTTCCTAGGACCTGGCATAAAGACTGCTGTGTGTTATCAAGTTACTCCTGACTCTTTTTGAGTCCATATGACAGAGTAGAACTGACCCACAGGGATTCGCAGGCCCATAATCTTTAGAGAGCAGATTGGTCTTTGCTCCAGTTGAAAGGCTGTAGGTTCAAACCGGCATAGGGCCTGTTGTTGTTGCTGTTGTATACTGTCAAGTCGAGACCAACTCGAACCTATAGCGGGCTTTTAGAGGCAGTGAACTGCATGGGAGTTCACCATGCATCTTTCTTCCACAGAGCAGCTGGCAGATTCAAACCACGTGCCTTTGGGTTAATTCCTTACCACTAGACCACCAGAACTATGGTATATATAGTTATGTAAAAGTCATTGAAAGAATAGAGGAATCAAGGGTTCATCAGGCACTTTGTCAAGCCTCACACCAGAGGAATTCGCTAATGAATAATCCAATCTTCACATTTTATCAATTATGATGCAGCGTTTAATTCCTCTGCCACTGTACTAACTGTAGTATATACTTTAAGGTGCTCCTCAGCATTTATAATGTATTTTATCCAATGGGTTGCAAGTTCCACAAGGGTAAGGGGGATGTTATGGGTCTTCTTCCGATGCCTCGGACCGGACACACTACCCAAAGGTCCCCTGAACATTTCAAAAATCCCACGGACCTGAAGATCTTTATCACAGAAGATCCAACTATACCCGTGGCCTTGAGAATAACTCTGTCACTAACTAAGCAACTCACCATGAGCTCCCTATGTGCCAGGAGCTAGGGAGAAAGTTCACACAACTTCCATTTTTCAAAGAGCTCAGCCACACACGACTCAGAAGTTACTGCAATTATCAAAAAGGCAAATGCTTAACAAGCAGATGTGGGCGCGTAAAGCGAAAAGAATACTGAAAGTATCTGAGTCTAGAAAATGTGGAAAACATCTTCCGAGGTGACGACTCTGACCCCCCCATGACTCAACTCTCACACCAAATTGACAGACAGCCCTGTAACGTGATCAGCACGGAGGGCAAATTAACCACGGATGACTAAAATGCAGCATCGTATGATTAAAATGCAGCATCTCCGTCAGAGAGGAAGCTCAGAAAGTAGGGAAGGATGGCAAAAAAGGGAGAATGGAAACTTGAAACACAAGAAGGAAATGGGAAGAGTGCTGTTACAACAACGCTGTTGAAACCAAGTGTATGAACTGCTGAATGGAAAACCAATTTGCCCATTTGGAACCAATCTGGAAAACCAAGTAAACTTTCACTCAATCACAGAGAATTGATAAAGGGGGGTGGGGTGGGGAAAAGAGGTGCCTACTGAGCTGGATCCGGAAGGATGAATACATTACCAGGAGCAGAGTAAGAACATGCAAAAGAAAGCAGTGTTCAAAGAGTACTGCTAACTTTCCAAACGTCCACCTGGGGCGAGCTCCACAAACTGCAAATCCTTCCCTGTGCACGTATTTCAAGTGCAGCCGCACAGGATGTCCACCATCCTGGCCGGCCTTACCAACTGAGTCGGGGCTGTTACAGCCAGCTTGCCAAGCTTCAAATCCTGCCTCCTTCACTTAAAAAACGCCGTGACCTTGAGCTGGGCAAATGCCTCCGTGCCTCAGTTTACCCCTACCTGAGAACCCATCTCAAGTGGTCATTAAATGAAAAAGTTCCTGACAAGCATCTGGCACCTCAAGACCCACGGTCGTGCAGTGGGCAAGTGCAGTGGGGAAGCACTGCACCCCTGGGTTCTTCCAAGGTCGTCATCTTTTGACAAAAGCAGAAGGAAACGTCACACATTTTCCTCCCGAAGGAGCGGCCGGTAGGTTCCAACCGCCAACCTTCGGGTCTGCAGCCGGGCGCTGTCAACCCCCTGTGCCACCAGGGCTCCGTCCGCTTAGCACAGAGGGTGCTGCTGGCCAACGAGTCCTCTTCGATAAAACAGGCGACAGTCATTGTCTCGATGAGCGAGGCACACAGCAGATGCCAGGCTTGTGCCTGCCTGGCTTCCAGGTCCCTCCCCGTTCTGAGATGGGCCCGGGAGAGGCTGCAGGCTGCACGCGTGTCCCCGCAGGGCTCCGCGCGCGCCTGCCCAGGCCCAACCCTCCAGCCGGCACCCGCCGAGGGCAGGGGACCCCACTCACCATACTGGCCAGGGCAAGGGGGGCGGCTCAGGTCAGCTGGCTCTCGGGGCTTCGGACACGTCCCGCTCGCACAGTTCAGGTCATGGTCCCGGCAGGTTGGGGGAAAAGACCCCCCCCCTCGGCCCAGGCAAAGAAAACTCCGTCCCCGGAAGCTCGGGCCCCGTGGGGACCCTCTAAAAAGCGTGCGGCCCCCTGGCCGGCCTCATCGAGGGGCCCCGAGACCCACCCGTCCCTACTCCAGGAAACTGCAACAAGCAGGAAATGAAGCTCGGAGGCCGGCAAGGAAGGTAGCGGCCCGGGGCCCCCCGCCCGGGCCCGACCCCCGTCTGGGGAGGCTGCGGGCCCAGGCAGGGGTTCCCCGTCTTCCGCCGGCAGAGGGTGGTGGTGGCGGCGGGCCCGGCCCTGGAGGCTTCAAGGGGCGGAGGCTGCCGGGGCCTCGGGGACGCAGCCGACTCAGAGCAGAGGCCCGGGGGTCCGCACAGTCCTGGTCACCTCGCTCCCCACTGCCACTGTCGCCGCCGCCGCCCCCCAAAGCATCCCTGCGCGCGGACGCCCCGCTCGCGCCGCCCCCAACTAACAGCCCAACGCGCCGGAAGTGGCGAGCGCCCGGCGCGGCCCCACAGCACGGCCGCCCGGCTGCGGCGCTGGAACCGGACCAATCCGGAATCGCGGGGGAGGGCGGGGTGGAGTGGGCGGGGCCGCACCTGACGGCTCCGTGGTGGCCACGCCCCCTGCTCGCTCCGCCCCCTGCGCCCGCTTCCCGGCCACGCGGGCCGGCTGCCATGTTGGTAAAGGGGTCGTTCTCTTGCCATGTTGGTGAAGAGATGCTTTCTCTTTCGCTTTGTGTGCTCATTCATTCCGCAGTGTTGTGCTAAGCGCTTTTAAAGAAAAAAATATTTATCTTACACTGTTTTGTTTACAAAGTTCATAATACATTGTTTTTCACACCAGATCTTTCCCATTTCCTTTACCCACTCTCCCTTCTACTCAACCAATTGTACGACCCTGTGTTACCAATTTGCTTTTTGGGTTATTTTGGGGTTTTTTTTAATTTTTATTATAGAGTGTGTGTGTGTGTGTGTGTGTGTGTGTGTGTGTGTACTGTCAAATCAGATCTGATCTGATTGGTACAGGAGGAGATGGCTCCTCCTTCTTCAGCAGAGCATCTGGTGGATTTGAACCGCGTACCTCTGGGATCTTAGTGCAGTTTCTTGCCACTAGGCCACCAGAGCTCCCTTGTGTTACCAATTCGTTACCCCGCCTGCCCATCCTCACCCCTCTGCTCCGACCCTCCATCCCTTGTATCTTCATACACGTTTTACTGCGTATCATTCTGTTTAGACAATAATGGTCTTGTACAGTATTTGTCCCTATGGAACTGAGTTCACTTAGCATAAGGATCTCCAGTCCCTCCCAAAGTAGGTTGTAATTTTTTTTTCTTTTTCTTTTTTTTTTCTTTCTTTTTTTCCTTTTTGTTTTCTCCTTGTAATGTGCCGTTGAGTCAAATCGGATTGGCGCAGGAAGAGACTGACCAGCCGCCTCCAATAGGGCGTCTGGTGGATTCGAACCATGTGCCTTCGTGATTACAGCGCAGCTGCCGACCACTAGGCCACCAGAGCTCGGTAGTAATTTTTTGAATCATTGACTGAGTGCCTTTTAACATTCCTAGCACAAACTCAAGAGAGGTAACAGCCTCAGTGGCTGGGTCATCGGGCATCCTGGAGCTGACAGAAAGTTGCTAGCTCCATCAAAGTCAACTGCCCCAGCTAGTTGGCAGATAATTAACAACAGCAAATGGACGGGGGAATGAGGAAGCAAAAAAAAAAGAACATTAGTTGTAAGCAAAGCAGTTTCTCTGCATGTTTTAAGGAAACATCAGAAACAAACTGAGACCTGAAGAATAAAAGGAAGTGTGATCAAAGTTGATGGTTTCGAGAAGGTGAGGACTGTCATGGATTCTCCTCAGATGCCAACCTGCTGTATTTGTGAAAGGACTGATTGTAGGAAACGCTCTCGGCTCTCCTGCACTAGAAGTTGGGGTCCTAGAGTTGTACCTACTGCACACTCAACTTTAACACTCTCACAGGACAGAGTACAACTGCCTTTTAGGTTTCCAAGGCTGTCAGTCTTGATGGGCACAGAATGCTGCATCATTTCTTTTCCTGTACGCAGAGGAAGCCTATGGATTTGGATCGCTGGCCTTTTGGTTAGCAGCCCAGTTCACAATCCATTGCACCATCAAGGCTCCGCCTATTACATGAGTCAAGGGGTGGGGGGAGGGAACTTCAAAAACAGCTGTCATTGAGGCAACTCTGACCTAAGGTGACCCTGTGGCTTTTGAGGTACAGCAGAAACCCTGCCCAATCTCGTGCCAAGTCTCTAGGTGCTTTTAAGTCATTATTATAGTCACTGTGTGGACCCATCTCATGTAAGCTCTTCCTCTCCTTCACTGACCCTCCATGTTTTCCAGCAAAATGTAAAGAATAGAGCAAATCTATCTAATTGTTGTGCACTGTTGAGTCCCTATTCTCCAATTTTCAGAGGCAGTTAATCTCACAGTAAGAGATAGTCTCCCATCAACAAACGAATGGATAGAGAAGCTGTAGTATATTCACAAAATGGAATACTACACTGCATTGACAAACAAGGAATTCGTGCAATATTATTCAAAATGGGTGACCCTAGAGGGCATTATGCTGAGTGAAGTATCTCAGTCACAAAAGGACAAACACTGCATGGTGCCACTGTTGTGAAACAGGACTGACCTTGGGATTGGGGAGAGACTGAAAAAGATGGGTTCAATAATGTATACTGCATTGAAACAGATGAGGGAGAAAACTGTTTAAAAAGGGATATGTGATTAGGTATTTTTGTCATGACAGGAGTCTAGAGCGAAGGCTACATGGTAGAGTGGACCTGGGGGAGGGTTTGTAAAACAATGAAAGAATTTTTCTTTCACTTTTCCAAGAGGATAGTGTACTGGGGGAAGGTTGGGAGGGGAGAAAAGTGCAAAAATGAATGAACGGAAATCCAAAGTCTCTGTGAATTTTTACTGAAATTAATAATAAATTTAAAAAAAAATGGGAATTTAAAAAAAAAAAGAGTCCATCTTCTCCTGCAGAGCAGCTGGTGGATTCAAACCGCGTGCCATGGAGATTGCAGCACCACTTCAAGAATGCCACAAGGCTTTGTCCAAAAGAGCAAATATTAAAATTAATCTATTAGAGGAGGTTTATTCCAGTAGAACATTCAAGAATGGGGTAACATCAAGCTGAAATAGACCAAAAGGCCAGCGATTCAAATCCATAAACTTACTTTGCGTACAGGGGAAAAAACAAAACAAGCATTCTGTGTCCATCAAGATTTACAGTCTTGGAATCCTGAAGGGTAGTTGTACTCTGTCCTGTCAGAGTGTTTCATCCAGCATCAGAGGAGGCTTCTTGGAGGCAAGGACAGCAAAGCTTCGGCATACTATGGGCGTGTTGTTGGGAGGGACTATTCCTTGGAAAAAAGATGTCATGCTCGAGAAAATGGAAGATCAGTGAAAGAAAAACACTCAATCAGATAGATTCAAGTATGTTAGGGTTGATGAGGATGGCACAGGACAGGACAGCACTCAGGTCTGTTGTTCAGAAGGTCACTATAAGTCATATTTGACAGCACTTAACAACCACCACCACCAGTATCAAAATGACTGGCTTTTTATTAGCAAAATGCTGAAGAAAAAGCAACTTATTCCTAATTGCTGTTATATGCCACCAAGTCACAGCACATCATCAACTCATAGCTGGATCCTCCAGCAGATTTTTTTTAAAACTTTTTTCCCTTAGTAATTCCCTTCCTCTCCATCCTCGTCTTCCCACCCCCTCCCTGATATTTGTACACATCTTACTAGTTAGCCCATCATCACTTCTTCAGGGGCTGCAAATCGTACAGAGATTTCCCATCTTGCTCTCACAGAGAAGCTGGTGGATTCCAACGATAGGTCTTTGGGTTATCAGCACAATGCTTTACCACTAGGCCACCTGGGCTCACTGATTGGCACAATTTACTACCGAAGCTCTTTCAGCTTGGTCAAGGAGCTTGGCTGGCTTACTCATGCTCATTGTGGTGGAATCAGAATTGAGTCATAGCTGACCTTCCAGAGGACTTCCAAAGGTGGAAATGACCTGGGAGGAGAATGCCTATCTTGGCCCCAGGGGCTAGGGGATTCCAGAAGCCAGAAAGGAGTGGTCTTTCAGCTTACTAAGCAATTCCTGTTTCCCACCAGTGTGTCCACTCCACTGCTGAGGTGTTCTGCAAATGATACCACCCAATTCCTAATTTGTTCAACTACTTGCAGCAGAATCACCTGGAAAATCAATTGACTAATGACTCACTTTTGGTGAGTCTAGAGAACCTCCTGGAAGGGCCCTTAAAAAGGAATTTGGGGGATAGTGTATGAAGGAAATGGGAAAGATCTGGTGTGAAAAACAATGTATGCAAACTTTGTAAATAAAACAGTGTAAAATAATTTTGGGCACTTTCTTTTTACTTGTTTTGTATTTTTTTAATGTAGGATTAATTTTAATGAACATTTACAGATGTTTTGGATTTCCATTCATTCATCGTTGCATTTTTCTCCCTTCCCACTCCTCCCCCCCCCAGTTCTCTCTTCTCTTTGAAAAGTAAAAGAAAAATTATTTCAGTGGTATACAATCTGCCTCCCTCCAGTACACTCCACTATGCAGCCTTCATTCTGGACTCTTGTCATGACTGTAATACCTAATCATATATCACTTTTAAACAGTTCTCTCTCTCATCTGTTCCAAT